ACATACAGACCTCCGCCATATAGTTGGAATGATGCTAAGCTCGGTGTTAAACAAACATGCAAACAAATAAATATACATTCCAAAGCCGCCATTCCAATAATTGTCAAGAATCGTTGCAATGGCAAACTGTTCGCCGCTACATCGCCCAACCACGTTTTCTGTCATCTGTGAGTTGCATGCAAAGCCTTGGTAGTCTGTGAACATAGTAATACACAATTGTTGCTGGATGTTCAACGACATCCAAAACTAGATAATTTTATAAAGCATAATCAACAATGTACATTGAAATGAAACGTCTCAGTAGGTAGAAGCACACACATGTAGGTGAATACAGTCCTGCAAGAATCACATTACCATCATGTCGGCCATGATACGACACCTGTTGTATTCTATCATGTAGTTATTAACAAGGGAATATATGACTATTATATGACTTATATGGCGAAGATCATCAGCCATGTATACATGACTGAGGTATTAATTGTACACTCTCTGTGCCCTGCTGAAGGACCTTTACATGACCGCTGTACTCACGGACACAGAGGCACCTGTGCTGATGGATAAGGGCGACCTGGCGATATCCCATGGGTGAGTTGAGTGAATAATATTCCAGAAATATCACACCGGGAGACACCAGGAATGGGTAGACACATTGTACCCATATGGGGAATCGAACCTGGTTGTGTTTCTGATCCCTGATGATCTGGGTTAAAATTTGCCTTCATCAACCCATGCCTGTCATGAAAGGCCACTAACGGGTTTAGGTGGTCCCCACATGGGAACAATGTGCAAAGCCCATTTCTGGTGTCCCCCGCCGTGGTATTGCTGGAATATTGTGGAATATTGCTAAAAGCGGCGTAAAGCTAAACTCACTCACTCACTCACTGTATCCCAGCATTCACTGTTGTGCTCATATACTACCCATCAAAAGTTTAGACTCACTAGTGTAAATGTAGCCACTTATTTCAATCAACTGTTCTAAACTAAATTTTGCAAAATACTCAACACTGTTTACACATGAACTGATGTATTGTAAAACAAATTCATAACGTTGAAAAGATTATTGTCATGAGTTCAACAAATGATGAAACTTTACACCAAAACGTAGCTGTTCACATGCACGATATTTGCTGTTTTTCAGCAATTTCATGCATGATCCTTGTGCAATTCATCTGCATAAAGTTTGCAGTTGGTTCCCCCAAGTCAGTGGAGAAATTCATCTTCGATGTAACTATATATATATATATATATATATATATATATATATATATATATATATATATAGACATAAGATATAGTGAATGCTTTGAGTGAGCCCAAACATTTGATGGGTAGTATATAACCAATTTCAGACATGTTCAAGGGACTAAATGTGAAAGAAGACTAAAACGGCTGACTGGTGGCCAAGATGTTGACTTCGCTCAGTATGGGATAAAACTGTTAGTCCTCAATAAGCTCTACAAAGATACAACCAAGGAGGTCCAAAGGAGATAGATTCAATCAAAATCGTTGAAACGTTTCCAACGGCAGCAAATCTGTTTTACAGAATCTACTTTAGATGACCCGCCACCCTGGCGCCATGTCATACAGCGCTAGCACTCCCATCAAGAGCAGAAATGTACAAGTCTCCAAATATGACAAATGTACAAGTGATATATCTCCAAATATGACAAATGTACAAATCATAGATCTCCAAATATGACAAATGTACAAGTGATATATCTCCAAATATGACAAATGTACAAGTGATATATCTCCAAATATGACAAAAATACAAATCATAGATCTCCAATATGACAAATGTACATGTGATATATCTCCAAGAGACGAGACGAGAGACGAGAGAGAGAGAGAGAGAGAGAGAGAGAGAGAGAGAGAGAGAGAGAGAGAACGAGAGAGAGAGAGAGAGAGAGAGGGGGAGAGGGAGAGGGACAGGGAGAGAGAGAGAGAGAGAGAGAGAGAGAGAGAGAGAGAGAGAGAGAGAGAGAGAGAGAGAGAGAGAGAGAGAGAGAGAGAGAGAGAGAGAGAGAGAGAGAGAGAGAGAGAGAGAGAGAGAAGACAGTCACATACACAAGTCTTTCTTCCATTTTTCAGATTAGTATTGGCTGTTTGGGATATATTTGTTTCAAGGTCGGTATGACATCCTAAACATGCTGCAGGTTATGTAAAATTGTGATTGTGTATATTGTGTCAAGCCATACTAAGTTTACATACAGTTGATATTCCTGCTAGCAAGTCCCTGAAGAGTTTTATCCTTTCCATCAGTATATTGTGATACGAAAAGAGTGTGATTAAAATTTAAACGGATCCGTTTACAAGTACAAATGGTTATCACGTTTCAAGGACAGTATGTTGGCAGTCGTGCTTCCTGCAATGAATTAATAAAATGTCCATATCCGTACAATTTTCGGAATATCAAAGACATTTAGAACAATTTTTTGTTCTTTTTGACAGTAAAAATAATTCAACTTCCGACATAATGAACATAAAATTCAAGGCTATAAATATAATACGACACACAGTGATGTAGTTTAAACAGGAACAGGGGGCGGTGGGGTGGCCTAGTGGTGTAAGCCACGCCGAAGACCCGGGTTCGATTCCTCACATGGGTACAATGAGTGAAGCCCATTTCTGGTGTCCCCCCGCCATGATATAGCTGGTATATTGCTAAAAGCGGCGTAAAACCAAACTCACTCACTTAAATAGGAACAAAAAGTGAAGTCCGTTTCCGGTGCCCTCGAGGAGTAGTAAAATCATACTCACTCACTCACTCACTAAAATCCTAATCTGTGATGCCACCATAATGCACATATCTATAGGACGTAGGACGGTGGGGTAGCCTAGTGGTTAAAGCGTTTGCTCGTCACGCCGAAGACCCAGGTTCGTTTCCCCACATGGGTACAATGCGTGAAGCCCATTTCTTGAGTCCCCCACTGTGATATTGCTGTAATATTACTAAAAGCGGAGGAAAACTACACTCACTCACTCTATACGACGTGGCCGACCATCATCCAAAGAGTGTTCAAGACAGCGTCAAGCTTTCTGGGTTCAGGTGAATCTCACTGAAAAAACTGTGATTGAGATCTGGACTCATGGCTCATTCTGTTGCAAGAACTGGGTGACAGACAGCACGTGCTCTGTGAGGCCTGGCATTGTCATCCATAAAGATGGGTCTTGTCAATATTATCTGAATACGTATATATCCACCATGACGGCAACATGTGCTGAGTGTGATGAATATACCATGGCGTACCCTTATCAACGATAAATATTGAAACAATATTTTTCTGAAAGTAATCAATGAATAACAAACAAACTCACAGCAAAACAAAAGTCCTAAACTTTACTGTACACAACTCTGTAATCCTTGCTCTGACTTCCTGATCATGCCTTTCATTTACCCAATATCATTCCCGATAGCTTATCATCTGAATACGTGTATGTCCATCATAACGGCAATATTTCCTGTGTTTGTGAATACTGAAAAATATTTTTTTGAAAGTAATTAATTAATACCAAACTGAATTGTGTTATGCAGACTGATGGACGTCTTAGATTCAAGCCAAGACCCGGATGTGACTCGAGAGAAGACTTCCCTTCTGCAGCGCATCATGGTCAAGTTTGAAAGCACTGTGTTCAGAAGGAAACTCCAGTACATGCTTGGGCTGTATCTCGTGTCTTTTTCCTCTGTAAGTGGTTTTAGAAGAATATTGTATGGAATCCTAGAAGGGACATTGTCGCGTTGTCGCATTTTAAGGCTTTTTGTACACATCTTAGTTGGGTCGACAATGCGACAAATGACGTTTTTGCATTGTCCCACATTGTTTAATTTTGTTACCTTTTGCTTGTTTTTGTAAGTGGGACATCTCCTGTCTTTATCCTCTGTAAGGACATTGTGGCTTTATCGCGCATTTTAAGGCTTTTTGTACACATCTTAGATGGGGCGACAATGCAACAAATGTCCAAAATGTCGCGTTGTTGCATTGTACCAAATTGGTTAAATTTGCCACTTGTTGCTTGTTTTTGTGAGGGCGACTACGTCCCTTCTTGGATTCCATAGCATTGGGTGGTGATGAATGTATTGGCAGTGACATATATATATATATATTTTTATCATCAGTGAAATGAATCCCCTATGAATGACGACAGAGAGGTTCTCCGAGTTCACGGCATTTTGTACTTGGTACAGGGTGACCGGTTTTGATTCCTCACATGTGTACAATGTGTGAAGCCCATCTCTGGAGTCCCCCGCCGTGATATTGTTGGAATATTGCTTAAAGCGGTATTGAACATGCCAACTATATGAATGTACTTGTTTAAGGTCAGGATCACCTTTGCAAAAGGACATAATCATAACATATGTCCTCTTAAAGAGTCCATTCACAATGTCAGGTAAGATTATTCATAAGCAACAGTTATAAAGTTCGAAAGTACAAACATCTGCTACATATAACAGACAAAAACCGAACATCTCTTTTATCAGGCTTTTGCAATCCAGGTTCAGGTATGAGTATGTCACGATCCGTTCTGATATGTTGTCTTCAAATTCAGTATATGCGCGTTAGTATAGGATACAAAGACAAGCTCTAACCAATCGTCAGAAACTTTGGTGACCGGTCTTCAAAAGCTTGTCTACAGAAGGAATCATACAGAAATTCTTCACACTGCAATGCGATATGCAGCTGTGTCCATTGGCCGATAAACTTGTGAGCATTTCTCAATACGTTATGCATTCTTTCAAGCAAGATTGATAAGAAAATGGACAGTCCATCATTTCCTAACATAAATGTTGTGTAATCTAACTATACTTCCTACTATAAATCTGTATCTAATAGGGATGGATAGTTGGACTGAAGGGACCAGCGTTCCTCGACCTTCAGCAGATCACCGGAGTTGGCACAAGCAAGGGTGCCGCCTTCTTCACAGCTGCGGCCGTTGGGGGTGTAACGGGAAATTTGTTTGGTGGTGCCCTCTATGACAGATTCAACCGCTATTTGGTTATGTTTGTGTCATCCTTCCTGTATGCTGTGACGTGTGCAATCATCCCCTGGTGTTCTGTGTACTGGACAATGGTCATGATGTTCCTGTTCCACGAGCTGGTTATAGGTGCTGCCAGGTCAGGTAAGACACTACCCTACACATGTTGCTTTTCCTGACCACTCCTCGTCAGTCTCTCTCCACAAGCACAAGATGGCGCTACTTCCGGTACTAAGCTGGTTCCCGGCTCCCTTTGCGCGCGCCGACTTGCGATATACGAGACGGTGACCAGCTTACTTCCGGTATCAGATTTCCGGTGACAAGCGTATAATCAAGAACCAGTTCTGGTTCCAAATATGACTTTACTAAACCAGACCAAGTGTACAACCATGCTTGGCTGTCACAGCAGTTGACAGTCGTAATAGGTGGCTAATTTGGGGATGGTTAGATCGGAAATTTGTTATTCCTGCAAGGATTATCGGTTCCTTACTGTCAACTGACAACCATGGGACCATTCAAAAAGGTATGAAACGTTGTTTGTCACAGGAAGTACTAAGGTCTCACGCAGTACCGTGACCTACTTACGGGTCCAATTGGTCCATGTTCCTCCACACACACAAGATGGCTACAAATGTTTTCAGATCCAGGGAAAACCACATGTATCGAAACCAACCAAAGCATTCGCATGTGCATTCATTGCTTTATTGTAAAACCTATCTCACACTTCATTACTCACCTTTTCCTCCTACTTCCATTTTAGGCATGAATGTGGAGATCGTGGAGGAGTGGGGCGACAAGGGCAAACCCTTCATGCAGGCACTGCATTTCTCCTTCTCTCTTGGGGCAACACTCTCACCCTTCGTCCTTGAACCATTCCTTTCCGAGGAACTTGAAGAAACAACCTGGATCACCGCCAACTATACGTTCACTCCAACCAGTACCATTTACAATACATCAACCATGGCCATGACCGGTACTCCAGCTCCCAGAACAAAGAGTAACATCCATTATGGCTTCCTCATCGTTGCAATTCCTTCAGGAATATTTTCGTTTGCATTCCTCATCAAATATTCCCACGAAAGAAACAAGGGTACAAGTAACATTAGACGAAAGGACACACAAAAGGGAATCAAGGACCATGAAGAGGAGGAGGAAGAAGGTCCCATGAGGAAGAAGAGAACCCTCCCTCGACATCTCCTCATCATCACCTTGGCACTCTTTGCTCTCTTCTACTTCTTCTTGGACGAGGTAGAGGACACCTCTCCATCTTTCCTGGCTTTGTTTGTCGTGAAGCAGATGAATTGGACCAAGAAATATGGTGGACGCCTGTCTTCCGCCTTCTGGGGATCCTACACTGCAGGGAGAGGGGTTGGCATCATCCTCATCAGTTTCGTCACACACACCCAGTTCTTCACCATCTGTTGTGTGGTCCTCTGCATGTCCCAGCTCGGTCTCCTTCTGTCAGCCACCTATGGATTTGGTACAGGTATCTGGATCAGCATTGTTGGTATTGGGCTGGCGATCTCAGTGGTGTTCCCTGCAAGTCTCACATGGACAGAGAAGGAACTGGTTCAGCTCTCAGGGAAGCTGATGGGAGTTATTTATGTTGCCTTGAGTCTTGGCGGACTTGCTAACCCTCAGATCATTGGCGTCACGATGGCTCTTTATTCACCAATGTGGTACAGTTATATTTTATTTGCGGAGAGCATCTTGTTTTCCATCACTTTCCTTATTCTGGTGGCGTTTGTAAAGAAAGTACTGTCTAAACGTACACATGAAATTGTAGAAAGAGAAATAAGTGAATAAAAAAATAAAGTGTAACAACCCAGAAATAACAACAGTTTTGTGAAATATCTCAAGGTCTCCACTTTGATTCAGAAGAGATACTATTCTTCTGCCACAGGTTAATCTCTTAAATGTCTCCATTGAAAATATTTATTTACTGGGATATTTGTTTTAAAAGTCGTACCAAGAGAATAATATAATGACTTTCGCATTTCCCAGCGTCAAAATGAGATATTCATCAAGAAAACAGTGAACCATGCTTGTCCAAGTTGTTACTTTTTTGGGGGTGTGTGGATTGGTGAGTGAGTGAAGTTTTACGCCGCTTTTAGCAATATTACAGCAATATCACGGCGGGGGGACACCGAAAATGGTCTTCACACATTGTACCCATGTGGGGAATCGAACCCGGCTCTTCAGCGTGACGACTAACTCTTTACCACCAGGCTACCCAACCGCCTCTCGCTTTTAATGATTTTTGCACACATCTTAGATGGGGCGACAGTGGGACAAATGGCGTTGTCGCATTGTCGAACATTGGTTTATTTTGCCACTTTTTGCACTTCACCCGAAGTGATGCATGAAAGACGTTTACCACTGGTGGTGCTGCCTGGTTTCTGGTGGCAATGAGTATAGTGACACAACATACATCCATACATAATTACATTATTTATTTGAGCACTCTTCTAATTGTTGGTGCTATCTGATGGCATTTACAGACAATTCTCTGTAGAAATGTTATTGATCGCTCTGTTTACTTGTATCTCAGCTTAAGTGTATCTCTGTATTTCAGCATAAGTGTATCTCTGCATCTCAGCATAAGTGTATCTCTGCATCTCAGCATAAGCGTATCTCTGTATCTCAGCATATGTGTACTCTGTATCTCAGCATATGTGTATATCTCAGCATATGTGTATCTCTGTATCTCATATGTGTATCTCAGCATAAGTATCTCAGCATAAGTGTATACTTGTATCTCAGCATAAGTGTATACTTGTATCTCAGCATAAGTGTATCATCTCAGCAGCATGTATACTCTCAGCATAAGTGTATCTCTGTATCTCAGCATAAGTGTATACTCTCAGCATAAGTGTATCTCAGCATATATACTTGTATCTCAGCATATGTGTATCTTGTACTTGTATCTCAGCATAAGTGTATACTGTATCTGTATATCTCAGCATAAGTGTATATTGTATCTCAGCATAAGTGTATCTCTGTATCTCAGCATAAGTGTATACTTGTATCATATGTGTATCTTGTATCTCAGCATAAGTGTATGTATCTCAGCATAAGTGTATCTTGTATCTCAGCATATGTGTACATAGCATAAGTGTATCTTGTATCTATGTATCTCAGCATTGTATCTCATCTCAGCATAAGTGTATACTTGTATCTCAGCATATCTCAGCATAAGTGTATCTAATACTTGTATCTCAGCATAAGTGTATACTTGTATCTCAGCATAAGCGTATCTCTGTATCTCAGCATAAGTGTATACTTGTATCTCAGCATAAGTGTATACTTGTATCTCAGCATAAGCGTATACTTGTATCTCAGCATAAGTGTATACTTGTATCTCAGCATAAGTGTATACTTGTATCTCAGCATAAGTGTATCTCTTATCTCAGCATATGTATACTTGTATCTCAGCATAAGTGTATACTTGTATCTCAGCATAAGTGTATACTTGTATCTCAGCATAAGTGTATCTCTGTATCTCAGCATATCTCAGCATAAGTGTATCTCTGTATCTCAGCATAAGTGTATACTTGTATCTCAGCGTAAGTGTATCTCTGTATCTCAGGATAAGTGTATCTGTGTATCTGTGTGAAATGAAACAATGTGATAAACACCAAAAAACAAGGGTCTGAAAGACACCAGCACCATGTTTGATTCAAATGCCGAAACACATCAGCCTAGTGCATGTGGATCACAGAAATTCCCCTGCAGATAGTGATTCACGTGAGCCAATTCCATTATGCGATAACTATTGTCAATTCATTCACTCTCTGCTTGAAGGACAATGTAGTCATGCGACATACTGGAATCGGGAAATGAAGGACAGTTTGTCTTTCAGTATCCATCTAGACAAGGACACCCACGACTGTCAATATGTATTGACGATTTCAACGTTTTCCGCGCAAAGTCTAATTCTAAAGCGTCTACGAGGGAAAAAAAACAAAGCGCCTTTGAGCAGCTGAGCTGAGCTGGATATCGGCGCTATACAAATGTTAGTATGTATGTATGTATGTATCAACATATATACCAACTTCTGTGCGTGTATTGAATTAACTGATAGTAATTAAATGCAACTTGGCAAGTAGCTCTCTGAAGTACGACTTCTGCAGAGACCAGCTGATACTGGCGACATACATTGTGTTGTCCATAATTGCATTAGGATTTATCTACAATCCATATCATGAGACTCACTATGCATTTATTCATTAACCATTCTCACGGGTTCACAAATATGTTGGGTCAAAATTGGTCTTCAGCAACCCATGTTGTAAGAGGGAACTAATGTGATCAGGTGGTCGTTCTCTCTTACTTGTTTGATGCATGCCATCGTATCCCACTTGTGAAGATCGGTGTTCATAGTGTCATGACCATGCTATGTGTAAGTCTTTTGTGTATATCATTACATATTACTAAAACTGAGGTATGCATATTTTTATGAACGTTACAGTAGAAGCAAGATGTTTATATGAATATTATCTAGGAATATCTTTGAGTTGTCCATAAAAGTAGGCACTTAATGTTTTGCATTTAAAGCAATACATTTCTGTCGTAATAGATCTTCAACAAATATTCCTCTGTGATAAAGTTGCAAATAAGTTAAGACTAAATTGTTCCTTGTTCCCTGACCTTCTTCAACTTCATATCTGTGCATGTAAAGGTCAGTGTACAGGAAGGTATAGCTGTAAGAGGTTGAACCTTTTGTGTACTTCAGCATTTGGATGTGGACTTGAAACATGTTCCCGTGATCTTGACATTGTTGATACTGACTGGGAAATATTAAGAACAATAAATACGAATTGATATGAAGGAAATGTTGCTTGCGTTACTGACTCATCATTCTTTGATGAGCAAAGAAAGACATCTGGAATAATAGAATTATACATTTAAGAGCTTTCTGTTATGTTGTGTGATTTTAATGATAGTCCAATAGTTCGACATATTTGACATCGTTGATACTATGTAAAGCATGGAGTTGTTACTGTTGAACAGACACTATGTAATATTTTGCTGATACGAAGAACCAACCATTGTTTCCTTGTAATGGTTTTTCATGAATATAATGCCAACCAACGGTATATATGATCTTCAAATGATGTAGCTGAATCAGAAAAACATAATTTGGGAATAATTACCTTTATTTTATGAAGTTCAACTCATATTTTCTCGTCAAATGGCCTTTCTATTAAAATTGACCTTTGACCATACCAAATTGATTTTGCGATGAGCATATAAGTAATATTATTGTTCACAATTTTAAATCATGATCTGAGCATTCCAAAACTACTGTTTTTATGAAAATCGGTCTATCCAAACCAGGGCTATTAAATTAAACCATCCAGTTATCGGTTATATTATTGCCATAACTGACATGACATGTTGCACCTTAAAAGGGCCTCTGCACGATTGTCACGCACGGTAGCTGATGACAACCGGCTTTAAATTCCCGATAACACTGAGATACTAATTATTCCCTCTCCGCACGTGCAAACGTAGAGACTGTGGTCACGTGCACTTTCCAGCTGTATTTAACTTCTGGTGGCAGCTGGTATCAGTGCGCAACGGACGGATGCACCATTGACGACGGATGAAGACGACTTGGTCAGGTTCCACGGGGTGAGTTTACCACTTAAAAGAGTGAGTGAGTGAGTTAAAATTTTACATCGTACTGGCATTATTGTAGGCATGTCTAACTGATAATATAGAACAAACTTTATGGATAACAACTTCTTTTTATTCGTGAGTGCGACGTTTCGATACAGATTCTTGTACCGTTGTCAAGCATAATGGGACATGAAGAGGGGGAAGTGTATATATACTGGATGTGACAATGTGACATTGTCACATCCAGTATATATACACTTCCCCCTCTTCATTGTCACATCCAGTATATATACACTTCCCCCTCTTCATTGTCACATCCAGTATATATACACTTCCCCCTCTTCATGTCCCATTATGCTTGACAACGGTACAAGAATCTGTATCGAAACGTCGCACTCAAGAATAAAAAGAAGTTGTTATCCATAAAGTTTGTTCTATATTGTACTTCCCAACTTCTAAAATGCCACTCAAAGAAGATGTCTAACTGAGACCATGTTAATTAAAGTTTTCCAACTTGTTACCACTGTGGGAGTTTCTTTAATAACAAAAATTTAAAATAAAAGAAAGGTATCATATTTAGTAAATATTTATCATACTGCCACTTGAATTTAATATGCTTCTCTTCTAGAATTATGCGTTTCAGTTACGATACGTCAGCACGCAAAGGTGAGAGTCTCTTCAATATTTTATATCAATCTTAAAATACTGGATAGAAGTAAAGAGGTATGAATAAATATTGCGAACCACTACAAAGAGATGGTGCGACTGTGCCAAACACTTAACACTGCTGTACTCGGTTTTACATCCCGTTAGTCGCTTCTACGATAATCATGGGTTGCTGACGACCAGTTCTAACCCGGATCTTTACGGGTGGAGACAAGCATGGGTTGCTGAAGACCAGTTCTAACCCGGATCTTCACGGGTGGAAACAAACATGGGTTGCTGAAGACCAGTTCTAACCCAGACCTTTACGGGTGGAAACAAGCATGGGTTGCTGAACATCAATTCTAACCCGGATCTTTACGGGTGGGGACAAGCATGGGTTGCTGAAGACCAATTCTAACCCGGGTTTTCACGGGTGGAAACAAACATGGGTTGTTGAAGACCAATTCTAACCCGGATCTTTAGGGGTGGAAACAAACATGGGTTGCTGAAGACCAATTCTAACCCAGATCTTTAGGGGTGGAAACAAACATGGGTTGCTGAAGACCAATTCTAACCCGGATCAACACGGGTGGAAACAAACATGGGTTGCTGAAGACCAATTCTAACCCGGATCTTCACGGGTGGAGAGAAGCATAGGTTGCTGAAAACCAATTCTAACATCTTACCTTGATAAACGTTGTTAAATTCTAGAAAATCATAAATGGATATTTGTAACCTGCAATAGTCCATCCATGTTAACACCATTATTTGGGATCAACGTGCACTCATTTCTTTATCAGCTCATTCTGCCTATGAGAATAATTACTGACTTAGATCCCTCCCCTTATCTGTACAAATATTAACTCACTTGCCAAGCGTCATGATTACGTGATCCGGGATAGTAACCCATGTTTGTCGTAAGAGGCGACTAACGGGATCGGATGATCCGGCTCGCTTTGGTTGAGAGATGTCATCGTATCCCAATTGCGTCAGATGCAACACATGCAAAACATGAATTGTTGAAAAGACTGATTCCATCTAACTCGGTACTACGACGGCAATTCAGTGAAACTTCTCTTTAATCCTTTTCTGCAGAGCTTTAACAAGTTTAAAAAAATAAACACGAACAGAACAACAGTTTGGTTGTGACGCACTCAATGAGTAGAGTACTAAGAGATATTTGTTTCAGGAAATTTGTATGCATGGTTGACTGTGATGGTAATTGAGCTTACTATGTGGATGATTCATGTATGCATTAACATGCACACCGGAAATATTAAATACACTACAAAAACTATTGGTTTTCTATTTATTGGCGACTTTCATGCTCGGGGACCGCAAAATGTATTCCATCCACGACTTAAAATCGAGGAATTTCAATGAACGGATTGAAGAAAAGCGGTGATTTTAGGATATTTAAAGCGAAACCAAATTTGTGTGGGAAATATACGTAATGACCGGATTTGCACGTATAAACTAACTTTCAGTAATGTCATATGAAGCAGCAGCCCGTGAAGATCGGGGTTCAGTAACTCATGCTTGTCGTAAGAGGCAACTAACGGGATAGGGTGGTCAGACTCGCTGACTTGGAGATGACACATATCTTCTTTGATTGGCATTCTAGAAGTTGAGGAGATGAAGAATGATGTTGGATATACACCTTTTTTATTCTGTATAGGCGACGTTTCGACATAGATTCTACTGTCGTTGTCAAGCAAGTGGTACATGAGAAGTAATTTGGGCGATTATATACACTTGTTTATACAATAGAAGAGGTTGATAACACAGATGCTAAATAATAATAATAATAATTGATTTATAGAGCGCCTATTTCCAAAAGATATTGCTCAATGGCGCAATAAGGAGAAAAGATTGTAGACAATGTCTATGGAAAAGAGAGTTTGAACAGATGAGTTTATGAGGGCAGTTTTGAAAGCGTCAGCAGATTCTATATCTTTTAGGGCGAGTGGTAGAATGTTCCAGAGATAGGGGGCTGTAGTAGAGAACGCTCTTGATCCCATGGCTGTTTTGACGTGAGGCTGTGTAAGCAGTAGGGAGTTTGACGAGCGGAACAATCGGCTTGGAACATTGAGATGAATGAGGCTTTTAAGATATTGAGAAAACGTGTTTTCATAGATGCAGCTGTGTGTAAGAAGAAGAAGTTTGTATTGAATTCTGCTTGATACAGGAAGCCAGTGAAGAGTTTGGAGGATAGATGTCACAGTTTGGTAGCGGGGTGCACGGGCAACAACACGGGCAATACAGCATAAGTAGGTTGATTGGAAGCCAGTTTAGATGATGTACATGGGTTGTATACATAAGAAATAGGCAGGTTGAATGGCAGCCAGTAGGCGATGATGTTCATAAAACCAGGAAACTACTAGAAGCTGTCCACATCAAAAAGATTTGCCCTGCTGTCAACAGAGATGAAGGATATTTCATCCCCAAGGCCTATCATAGCTTGCTAAATTAATTTCCTGTAAACGTGACGATATCAGGTGTTGGTAGAAAGGTGAGCAGATATTGTCCAGACGGTGACCCCTGTCACAAACACGTGACACAGTGAAACACAGGAATCTTGGCACAGGTCAAAGTAGGTCATTACATGAGACTGTACAGGTCAAAGTAGGTGATTACATAAGACTTTACAGGTCAAAGTAGGTCATTACATGAGACTGTACAGGTCAAAATAGGTCATTACACGAGACTGTAGAGGTCAAAGTAGGTCATTGCATGGGACTGTACAGGTCAAAGTAGATCATGACATGGGACTGTACAGGTCAAAGTAGGTCATTACTTGAGACTGTACAGGTCAAATAAAGGTCATTACATGAGGCTGTACAGGTCAAAGAAGGTCATTACATGGGACTGTAAGGTCAAAGTAGGTCATTACATGAGGTTGTACAGGTCAAAGCAGGTCATTACATGAGACTTTGTACAGGTCAAAATAGGTCATTACATGAGACTGTAAAGGTCAAAATAGGTCATTACATGAGACCGTAAAGTTCAAAGAAGGTCATTACATGAGACTCGGTATAGATCACAGGTGGTCATTACACGAGACTGTACAATTCAAAGATTGCAGGATTGTTAGCAGTTCACAGATCTACTGTTGGGCGAATTTTGAAGAAGTTTGGTGACGGTGAAAGCACAGAAAACAAACATCGAAGTGGTCGACCTCGTGTCAATAGTTTGAGTGGAGTTAGGCGACGTTTCCGTGTTTTTCGCCAAAGCAGGCGACGTTCCCTTACTGACATAGCTAACAATTTAATTATCAGTTTCTAGCGGGACAATTCAGCGACATTTAGATCGCGTTGGCATAAAAAACGACCGGTAAGGAAAGGTATCACCATTTCACAAGTTAACCGTCAGAAGCGTGTTAGGTGATGTAGGGGGGGAATTGACATGGGGGACTTAATAGGTGGAAGAAAGTGTTGTTTACTGATGAAACTCAGGTTGTGTTAGGACAAAAATAAAACACTTCTGTTTGGAGAAAGGCTGGCGAAACGAATCATAGAAAATGTGTAGAGATGTGTTAAAATTAAACATCAGAAAGACTATGAAAACATCAACTCCCGCGAAGATTTGTTGGCTGCGGTACAGTGGATCTGGGCCACTCTCCCACAAGTCTATATTCGAAGTTTATACCAATCAATCCCTAAAAGAATCCGAAGTGGCATAATCCAGAAGGGTTACATTACCAAATATTAAAAAGTTTTGGTAAGTCAATACAATGTACATTTATTCTTCTTGTATAATGTTATTTTATGAAGCGCTATTGATACAACACCTGTTTTTTGCAATACATTTGGCAGGTCACTGTTTATGAGACTATGTTCAGGTCAAACTAAGTCATTACTTCGGGCTTAGTACAGGTCTAAATCAGTCATTACAAGAGACTGTACAGGTCAAATTAGGTCATTACAAGAGACTCTGTACAGATCCCAAAAAAGGCCATTACATGATACTTAGTACAGGACAAAATAGGCGATTACATGAGGCTATGTTCAGTTCAAAATAGATCATTACATGAGGCTTAGTACAGGTCCCAATAGATCATTACATGAGACTCTGTCCAAAGAATTATATCATTGCTCTTTGCATGTTTCGCAGAGAATTGCCGAGTGTACACAAAAAGTTATAAACTCCCAAGTTAGGATTTGCCGGATTATTGCTCAACATAAAGTGTAATTATTTGGTCATTTGTCAAACGCTGACATTACATATTTATATCAATATTTGCGTAAATGTATTTACTGATGATGTACATATTTCAGACATCTATATGTCAAGCATTTGTCAAACTGATCTCGGATTACAGATACATTTCCCAACAAAAAAGTGAAAACTAAAATACTGTGCGTTCGCGCGGTGTTATAAACGTACGCCCGCCATGAAAGACAGATGTATCGGTTCGTGAACGACGAGCATAAAATGACAGGGCTTGTTAAGGTATGCATTTTAAGTGGTTGGGTGTGTTGTCAGAATGGGACGTGGTCGTGGAGCATGTGCGCATTTGGAACACGTTCGTCGTAGATTGTAGGATGAATTGTCAGAGTCACTTGTTGACTGGAGTTCGTAGCTGACAGGATGATTCATTTGATATTTAAATGTTGTGTTTAATCCGAACTGGACGTTCTCTGAAACTTGTAGAACCAGATGCTCTGGGCCAGGGACACCATTTGTTTGATTCTCATTCCAGCATTTTGGTTCATCAGTCTTTCATCTGCAGATTGCAACAATGTCATAGTCTTTGTGACGGAAAGCATTTCAACCGTACCGACTTTACCACGAGCTGTGTGTTGGTAGTATTTAATGAGCTGTCATCATAGCAAATAGTTTCGTGGACAAGCATCACGATACAAGACACTAGGCACCATTTGTACCAAGGAGAATCCAAGGATACCAAGTCATGGATATAGTCACCTTACCGTGTTTCAATTGAGCTCCAGTCAGGGTAAATATTCTATAATGGGAGTTTGTTTTGAGTGTGACCCCGCCCATTGCCATACATCTATTGAACGTGGCCGATGAAATTACACTGTTTTGTTCCATCCCAATGTGTTTACTGCAGCATCTGGTAAAGTAAATACCATGCTGTTCGCTTTTGAGCAGTGTATGCAGTACGATATCTAATACAGGATCATATCGCTGAGGTAAGGTTTTCTTTCCAAGTTTTGTGTAATTTTATTTAGATATATCTTATTTTTTAATTCAGTTTCAAGACCGTCGGAATAGGGTTTGCAAGTCTTGCGAGGGGATACTTCCGCTGGTTTCCGGCTCCTTTTGTGCGCTTATAATGTATTCCACAAAATACTGAATGGCCATCAGTAGAGTTTGGTCGTTTTTATTGGGTTTGTTTGTTTAACTAGCAGTCAGGATCCACGCAAATCGGGGCGTTGGGGTAGCCTAGTGATTAAAGTGTTCGCTCGTCACGCTGAAGACCCGGGTTCGATTCCCCACATGGGTGCAATCTTCGAAGCCCCTTTCTGGAATCCCCCGACGTGATATTGGTGCAACATAGCTAAGAGCAGCGTAGAACTATACGCATTCATTTACAGAGGCAACCTTGTGGATTCTGGAGGTCGTCCTCGACACCGCCAAACCTACAATAAAACAGTTTCCAGAAATTTAAATCAACAAGGCCCTCTTAGTGGACAGTGCAAAACCACACCAAAGACAGTTTCCGGAAATGTTAATCGTCAAACTTGAACCCGGCGGCATGTAGAATTCACAACAAAGACACTACATTTGTTTTATAACAATCACTCGTCGTCCACTTAAATCTACGTCTACTTAAACGAAAACATTGACTATGACAGTTGCCAATTAGGAGATAAACATCATGTGTTGGCCAAGTTCCGGGTGTTATTGAGTATTTGAAGCACGGGAATTCATGAGTCAATTATCTTCTTCACTTACAGGTCCCCAGGCAGTCCAAATACAAATGTCAAGTTACGATTTTGAATTTGGGCTTCATGCTAAACACCACTATGAAATGTATCCATGACCATTAGTCATGCACAGCCCAACGTTTTAAGATGAATATTGAAATACTACATTATTGTATGTGCTTTGAAATCAAATCCCGCGGATGAAAATGGTAAGTGTAACACATGTTATTTTGATATAACAAAAACAAGGCTAAAATTGAAAACGGGTAACAACTTGCTTGCAATCATAGAAGAATACCCGAACACCGGGAACATTTAGAATGCCTGAAGGTATGGTCACAAAGCTCCTCCCCATACTGGCAATCAAGCATCATACTATTAGCATCTGATCCCCATGCAGTGCCTGCTTTAACTCTTCATTTTAAAGAGGAGGAGCTCCAGCTCAACTTGGTGTCGAAGATTGTCCAAAAGATGTTCAATGGGGATTATTTCGGGGCTCCACGAGGGCCATAGTAATTTTTCGATGGAATGTGCTCTAAAGGGCGATGACTGCTCGAAACGAAATAGCGTTGTCATTCAAGGATATCTGACGATTGGCAAAAGTATGCGAAATGTGGCACCATGGCTGTATCCATAACACTGACCATTGTGTGACCCAGATACTGTAATGAGATCCAACCCCATACCGTCACTGAACCATCACAAAGGGTTCAAATGCATGGACCATCTCCTGGTGAGACGACGTCTCAATCCGCGACAACGTTTAGAAGATAACGACATCAGAACAATGAACCCTACGCCATTTCCTAAAGTTCCAATTTTCTTGGAGTTTGCACCACACCAAACGTTTCTGCCTGTGTCTATCTGTAAGGAAGGGACGTCTGACCGGCCAATGTACCCTCCAACCAGCAGCCTGCAGCCCCCTTCTGATTGCCAACGAATTTGGACACGGTCATTGGTCTTAATCCATCTTCCAGGACTTGGACTTACTTCACAGGTGGACTCGTGCTTCCTCTTAAGTGCACTAATAACCGTGTTTTTAATGTTTAATGATGTTGGGTCAGGACATCTCTGCATCAGGGCCGGTGGGGGTGCCTAATGGTTAAAGCTTTCGTTTGTCAAGCCGATGACGTGAGTTCACTCCCCCACATTGGTGCAATGTGTGAAGCAAATCATGTATTTTCTGAAAGTTCTACGTCTTGACAAAAGTTAGTTTAGTTAGTAGTGTCATCTTTTAAACTTGTTAAAAAAATTGTAGTGCATATATTGCAATTTCCAAATTTATACTCTACTTTGTTCGGCACCTTGGCAGCATGTGAACATGTGATCCATAGTAAAAGAGCAGTTTCCCTATTAACAGTACGTCTTTTTACGTATTATTTTACGTTTGATTGGCATCTATAAAATGTCGTAGTAGAAGGTAAAGAAGAACTGGAAACAATGAAGAGTGACATAGAACTCTTATCGGTGTGTTCATTAGGTGCCAGCCATGTGGCAAAAGTTTTTGCTCAGCATGAAATTCAGACACCATTCCTTTCCGAAAATGGATTCTTGCGCACTGGTACATGTGGCATGTTGGCATATATAGAAGCAAGTGTTACAGTAACATGGGAAGAGCCAACTGTTTCCAGTTTGTTTATTAACGGACCTGTCACTGTCCAAAACTTGAAACCTGGAACTTTGAAAACATTTGATGAGGATGCTTGTGAGGTTTTCTACACGTGTGGATTTCATATGGTATAAATATAACAGCTACAGCCTATCGGGCAACATGTGCTCGTAGACATGCCATTGACATTGCTACTGTACCAGGCTAGCAGAGAAGAGAGATACAAAGGGAACTCCCCTCTTTTACACAAAGGTTTCGGGGCTGTGGGGTAGCCTAGTGGTTAAAGTGTTCGCCCGTCACGCCGAAGAGTCGGGTTCGATTCCCCACAAGGGTACAATGTGTGAAGCCCATTTCTGGTGTCCCCGCCATGATGTTGCTGGAATGATTGCTAAAAGCGTCGTGAAACTGCACTCACTCACTCACTCTATAGGACGACACTTCACCAAGCATCAAAATCTTGGTCTCTTGTGGCTGCAGAAAGGGGTGTTACAACATATGCAAGTGCAAACAGTTCTTACTTAAATGCACAAGATTCTGTTGGTGTGAGGGCCAGTGTATAGAAAATTGAATCTCTTTATTTTCAGTACTGGATGTTTTAGCATGTATATGAAAATAGTGTATGAATTCACCTCTGGTCTGAAAGGAATTTGAATTATCACAAAATACAGAAGTCACAATGTCCTGACTTGTAAAACTTACAGTTATACTCTGCGGTCATCCAATCAGAGCAGGAGAATTAGGAAGCAGAGATAGAGTCATCTTTTGAAACTGATCATCAGATGTTCGCCAAATTCCTATCCTGGTTCTGTCAAATGCAAATCGTAATTCCTTTCCCGATCATACAACATTTTTCCATCACTCCTCAACTTGCCTTTTTGATAAATTTGACAAACATTTGCTTCCAAAATGAGCAAGTTCAGCAATGAAATTCCTGTCAACTTAACTTGCCTAGGAAGGACCAGAGAAAAATATAAAAATGGTGAAAAAGCAGTATTTTGAAAGGTTTATAGTAATCTGTAGTATCCGGCTTCACACGTGTACCAGCGCATGAATTATTTCGTGTTTACATGTGACTCACGCACAAATGAGAGATGGGCATGTGTGTCACGACGTGGAAAGATTTAACGTTGGCATGCAGTACTTGAGTCAATAGGCTATGACAAAGTCACCAGAGAGTAGTTTCCAAAACACGAAACATTTTAGCTTGGAAGTAATCGATGGTGGCATCAATACAAAAACGTTCAGCTTGAATGTACATTGTCTGGCTTGAAACGACCTTTGGTCGACACAAGGCATCTATGTTTATTGTACGATTCCAGCTATGTCATAAAAATGTATATGTATTATTCACTGTACGAATGAATAAATCACTTTGAAATAGTGAATGAATCGTGCTCTTCAGTGGTATATATTACAAACACATGTCAAAATTAGGAATCAGCAATGACACACACACACACACACATAAAGGCAAATCAATCAGGAACGACAAACACACGTAAAGGAAAGTCAATTAGGAACGACAAACATAGGCAAAGGCAAGTCAATTAGAACGACAAACACACGCAAAGGCAAGTCAATTAGGAACGACAAACGCACGCAAAGGCAAGTCAATTAGGAACGACAAACCCACAAAGGCAAGTCAATTAGGAACGACAAACACACGCAAAGGCAAGTCAATTAATTGTTAACATGAAATAACACGGGACAATTATATGAATGTCATCATCATTGTCATTTTTGTCACTGATTTGGAAATGTCCTTCAAACCTTTTCAAAACGTTACTAAAGCCCCGAAAGCTTTGAAAGCCATGTAACCCTGATCCTACACCTTTTAAACAAAGAGGGTCGTATTGTACCTCATATGACCTGCATGAAGAGGAGTTAGTTTCAGACCCCAATACTACCAGTATTACATCAATTTTAAACGTAGGGCATTATAGTCAAAGTCAGTTGCTTATTGGTATGAATGTCATTGGCCCGTATACAGAGAAAGTACATATTTACACAATACAGTAGTATATGATAATGTACATGATTTTAAGTGGGTATAAAACTATATATCATTTCCTAATACTGTGATGGATGAATACACAGCATTCTCCGTAACCGCACATCATTCAAAGACAGAATCATTTTAAATTCATACATAATCGGGTTATAATAATACATTAAGGAATATAGAAATGTCTATGTTCTCACAGGGATGACATATGGAGGTAAAACGTTATTCGACATTCCGGGTTCGAATTGGTCATTAGAAACCCCTACCTGTCGTAAGAAGTGGTCAGACACGCTGACTTGGTTGACACATGCTGCGTACATCGATGCTCATCCTGTGGATCACTGGATCGTCTGGTCCAGACTGGATTATTTACAGGCCCCGCCATAAAGCTGTAATATTGCTGAGTGTGGCGTTAAACAACAACCAAGGAATAAAGTGCTATTCATTTCAGTCTCCAATGTCAAAAGCCCATATAATGTTTCTTTAATATAATTAATGTATATGTAATGTATTGCCTGTAATGTATGTGACGTCAAAGCCACGGCATGTGATCAGTATCAGGTTAAGATCAATGAGTGCATAAAATATGCAGAAAGAAAACGAGTACGTTCTACAGAGAACTGTCAATCTGAGGGAACAATTCACGTCAAGATTTTTGACATGTTTTGTGGATCGAACGGACTTTTATAAAAATATTCCATCTAAAAACATAACAAACAATCAGCGTAACGCTGGTATGAAAAGGGATTGTATAACTACTGTGGTGATTTGTTAATACCAAAAGGTTCGTCCTCAGCCTCACCAAGCTGTTTAAGGGTACCTGAGAAGCAGATGTACGGACCTATAGGGTCGCGCGAAGCGCTTAATAGCTGCTTTGAAAGTACAATTCCGTCAGGGTAATAATGTAACGCCACAGAACAGCTTGCGTTGGATCCTAGGCGCAAACATTAGCATTATTATTAACTTGTTTCTAAATATTAATACAATAGATACAAGAAATATTGATATGCAAGGCATTAAAAAAGCCACTGAAAAATACAGGAAGAAGTTCAACTTATGGCGCTTTAGGGGAAAGCTTTCATCCTTTATATCATTCTCATTTGTTTTGACAAGAAATAGTCACTTCCATATTTTACTATTCTCCATTCGTGTTTTTATATACAATACCTTGCAATAACAAATATAAGATTATTATTTCAAACATTTTACAGATACTGAATTTGTCAGTATTATGGCTTGTAAATAGTGGAGTTCAGATTTAATTTGATCACTATTATACATTGGCAACAAATATAAACGCATACTGTTTCAAACGATGCAATAACAAATAGTAATTCAATTTGGAAAGAAATTGAAAGCTGGGTAGTAAGATCATTAGAGATTCCATTCTTCCAGCAAAACAAAAGTCCTAAACTTTACTGTACACAACTCTGTAATCCTTGCTCTGACTTCATGATCATGCCTTTCATTTACCCAATATCATTCCCGATAGCTTATTATCTGAATACGTGTATGTCCATCATAACGGCAATATTTCCTGTGTTTGTGAATACTGACAAATATTTTTTTGAAAGTAATTAATTAATACCAAACTGAATTGTGTTATGCAGACTGATGGACGTCTTAGATTCAAGCCAAGACCCGGATGTGACTCCAGAGAAGACTTCCCTTCTGCAGCGCATCATGGTCAAGTTTGAAAGTACTGTGTTCAGAAGGAAACTCCAGTACATGCTTGGGCTGTATCTCGTGTCTTTTTCCTCTGTAAGTGGTTTTAGAAGAATATTGTATGGAATCCTATAAGGGACATTGTCGCTTCGCTTTTGAGTGAGTGAGTGAAGTTTTACGCCGCTTTTAGCAATATTACAGCAATGTCACGGCGGGGGGGGACACCAGATATGGTCTTCATACATCTTCAGCGTGACGACGAACACTTTACCACGAGGCTACCCCACCGCCCCTCACTTTTAAGGATTTTGCGATTTTGGGGCGACAGTGCGACAAATGGCGTTGTCGCATTGTCCCACATTGGTTAACTTTGTTACTTTGCTTGTTTCTGTAAGGGCGACATCTCCTGTCATTATCCTCTGTTAGTCGTTTCAGATGTGCTGAATAGTGCTGAATGATGTATTGGCCGTGATATATGTATACAGTGAGACCTCGGATATCCGGACACATTCGTTTTTTACGTAAATCCTCCGAATAATTGAATATCCGGATATCTGGATTTTTGGTTTTCATACACCTCAAGGAAAATCCAAAATGTTTATGATCATCAAGCGTTTATTGTACATGTATGGACATTCAAAAACAGCATCACAACATAACAATCATACCTTTACAATTATTCAGTTTTGAAAAAGTCTTTCATTGAGGACTGCTTACAGTGGGTGCCGCTCCTTTGCAAAACGACGGACAACATTTTGTCCAGGTTTTCACTGTCGCCATTGTTCACAAGGTAGCTGAGTTGGCCTTCGTAATATTTATTTGCGTCAGCAAACGAGCAGAGTAGTGGGGATGCCTGATCCTCCGTATCACCGCCACTTTCTTCTTCGGTATCTTCTTTATTGGTGACCATGTCGATGATTGAAGCATCTGTCAGTGCCTCGCCAGTCTCAACCTCGATGTCAATATCAACATACTCCTCGGCAGTGGGCGTGGCTTCTGTGGTGTCTGTATTGCTGGCATCGGCAAATTTTCTGAGTTGTTCGGCCAGCTCAGAAAGCACCATGTCGTCGTCTGAGTCTCCCTCTGTATGTTGAGGCAGGATATCAACGTGGCGGAAGCAGTTGGCTATCGTCGAAGGTTTCACTGCATCCCAGGCTCCACTCTCCCTTTCACAACTGCATCTTTATCTGCACTAGCAGCCTCGCCTTGATCGATCTTTTTTGAAATGTGATAGCGAGACTGTATTAATAAAGGAAATGAACCTTTTATGTATGACGACATGGACTATTTACCATTAACAATGTAATTTACTCCATCAGGACCTCACAGTTAAATTGGTGTGCCAGCAATATCCATGCTATGTTTTCCAACATGGTTTAATTAGGTGGACCAGCATTTCCTTCTATGAATGTAATGTATTCTGTCAGGCAATTATCTCAGATAGCTTGACAGTCCATAATTCCCTACTATAAATCTGTATCTCATAGGGATGGATAGTGGGACTGAAGGGACCAGCCTTCCTCGACCTTCAGCAGATCACCGGAGTTGGCACAAGCAAGGGTGCCGCCTTCTTCACAGCTGCGGCCGTTGGGGGTGTAACTGGAAATTTGTTTGGTGGTGCCCTCTATGACAGATTCAACCGCCATTTGGTTATGTTTGTGTCATCCTTCCTGTATGCTGTGACGTGTGCAATCATCCCCTGGTGTTCTGTGTACTGGACAATGGTCATGATGTTCCTGTTACACGAGCTGGTTATAGGTGCTGCCAGGTCAGGTAAGTCACTATGCCTCTACTACAGCACATCTCAGCTGGTTACAGGAGCGGCCAGGTCAGGTAAGTCACTATGCCTCTACTACAGCACATCTCAGCTGGTTATAGGGGCTGCCAGGTCAGGTAAGTCCCCTACCCTGCACACATTTGTGTATTGCTTTTATTTACCTCTCCTCGTCAATCAACTTCTTCATCAAATTATCGCCCCTTGTCGGCCGTGTATTGCTATCACTTATCCTCTCGCTGTCTGCTGTCATAACAGTACAGACTTCTAAGTTCTGATATTTTTCTCGTTTCCATATTTCTAATTTCTCCAGTTATCGCCAGAGCCCCTTTGAGATGAAATGCTAATTAAAAATAGCTTCCCTTTTCCTTCATTTTAGGCATGAATGTGGAGATCGTGGAGGAGTGGGGCGACAAGGGCAAACCCTTCATGCAGGCTCTGCATTTCTCCTTCTCTCTTGGGGCAACACTCTCACCCTTCGTCCTTGAACCATTCCTTTCCGAAGAACTTGAAGGAACAACATCGATCACAGCCAACTATACGTTCCCTCCAACCATTTACAATACATCAACCATGGCCATGACCGGTACTCCAGCTCCCAGAACAAAGAGTAACATCCATTATGGCTTCCTCATCGTTGCAATTCCTTCAGGAATATTTTCGTTTGCATTCCTCATCAAATATTTCCACGAAAGAAACAAGGGTACAAGTAACATTAGACGAAAGGACACGCAAAAGGGAGTGAAGGACGAGGAAGATGAAGAGGAAGAAGGTCCCATGAGGAAGAAGAGAACCCTCCCTCGACATCTTCTCATCATCACCTTGGCACTCTTTGGTCTCTTCTACTTCTTCTTGGATGAAGTTGAGGACACCTCTCCATCTTTCCTGTCTGTGTTTGTCGTGAAGCAGATGAATTGGACCAAGAAATATGGTGGACGCCTGTCTTCCGCCTTCTGGGGATCCTACACAGCAGGGAGAGGGGTTGGCATCATTCTCATCAGTTTCGTCACACACACCCAGTTCTTCACCATCTGTTGTGTGGTCCTCTGCATGTCCCAGCTCGGTCTCCTTCTGTCAGCCACCTATGGATTTGGTACAGGAATCTGGATCAGCATTGTTGGTATTGGGCTGGCGATCTCAGTGGTGTTCCCTGCAAGTCTCACATGGACAGAGAAGGAACTTGTCCAGCTCTCAGGGAAGCTGATGGGAGTCATCTATGTTGCCTTGAGTCTTGGCGGACTTGCAAACCCTCAGATCATTGGGGTGACTATGGATCTATATTCACCAATGTGGTACAGTTATGTTTTATTTGCGGAGAGCATCTTGTTTTCAATTACCTTCCTAGTCCTGGTGGTGTTGGTGAAGATCATACTCTGTCAACATACACATGAAATTGTACCAAGGACGTGAAATATTGTCAGATATATCTGGGTCTGTACAGTCGGTGAGAAACAGTAATCTGTGCACCATAGGTTCTTTTCTTTAAAATACTTTTTTCACTCAGGCATTTCTTTGTTTTGAGTTTCAAATTTTATGAAAACGTGACTGTAGGTCAGAACAGGTCTTCATTGGTTAGATGCGCAACCAAGAGTGAGTGAGTGAGTAGGAGGGTGAGTGAGTGAGTGGGTAAGTGGGAGGGTGGGTTAGTGAGTGAGTGAGTGAGTGAGTGAGTGACATAATCTTCAGCAGTCACAGGCTCAACCAACAGTGAGTGAGTGGGTTTAACGCCCTAAGAACTGCATTCCATTTACATCATCCTAACACTGGAGGTGAGACTTTGACTGAAACACACGAACACTAGTATGGTACTGATTTAAAAATGTAATCAGGTTGAACCAGGATTTGATCCAACAAACCCTGGTTTCTAGTGTGGAACACTGCACAGCAGCTTGCTGCACCGCATAGGAATGGGCCACCCGCACCCCTTTCTTTCAGTATTTGCTTGGATTTGAGGAATGCCTATTATATAATGCGCATGCCGTTTAATATAACTTGCCTTGAGTAATTTGGTTATGAACGTTAGAAAAAGAGATATCGGTATTAGTGAGTGAGTTTGGTTTGACGCCATTCTGAGTGACGTTCCCTTCATGAAGTGTCAGCTTCATGGCCGGGGGCGGTTACCAATTTAAGAACCCACGAACACGTGTATACATAACATATGGTAAACCTAGAAACAGAATCGGGAAAAACCGGGATTTGAACCTCCAAACATAATTTCCTGGTTTGCCCAAGGGATGCAAATGCACATTTCATTCTGTGAGAAATGTACACGCAAGAACATGAGGTGAATATTTCTTTTCTTCGTTTGTCAGTAGCTTGTAACAGTAATTATCTGTTGAATAAAGGCTCGTCCTACTTTGTTCTAAACAGCCAGTTTCTTTGTATCAATCGCTTGGTGCGTGTCAACACCAGGAATGGGCTTCACACATTGTACCCAATTGGTTTGCTCTGAAACGTAGTGATAAAGAATAAATAAAGAAGTTGTTATCCATAAAACGCGTCATGTATTTCTGTAAAGTTTCTCAGCTGAAATATAGCTGAAACTTAAATATGTACTTAAAATTAAACATGTAATAGTTGCCATCTTTTAAATGTTTCCAGGATACCATTTGGCATACACCTCTCCATATATGCTCTTCCAAAAAAGAAGGGGAACCTGAACTTTTCAATTTGGATAGGAAATATAAGCGTAAATACACTTTTCAAAGACAGACATCTTATGAACGCACCGCCATTTCTCTTTATTACCCCCCCCCCTAAACACAACGAATTGGATGCACGTGCACAACGCAGTAGCCCCATACACGTGCATGGAGTGTTATTCTTGATTTTGCTGATTTTCAAGAAGGTCGATAAATCACTGTAGACCATTAATTAAATATTTGTTGCTATAAATACCTGTAGAATGTAGCACTGCCTCGTCCCTATCTTATTGTTTGTTATATAAATCTTGCTATGTTTAACCCCGTCGAACATCCAGTCCAGTAGACCCGTGAAGGTCCGGGTTAGAATAACCCATGCTTGTCGTAAGAGGCGACTAACGGGATCGGGTGGTCAGGCTCGCTGACTTGGTTGACACATATCATCGGTTCCCAATTGCGCAGATAGATCTATGCTCATGCTATTGGTCACTGGATTGTCTGGTCGATTATTTACAGATCGCCGCCATATAGCTGGACTATTGCTAAAACGAAACTCACTCACTCAAGTCCAGTATATATTATACAATCCTACACATGTCGCCATACTCCAGTAGACATGGTCCAGTAATTTGACATCAGCGCTATCAGCATGAATATTATTCATTGTTAAACATAAGGTAATTGCTTTTATTGATTCTAATTTTTGAAGTTGAATTTACGGCTTTGTCTAGAATTACTACATACCACTTAATTTCAAGCATCGATAACCATGAATTATGAATCATGAGCTATTAGTGCTGCACTGTTACAGATCAAATGAAACGAAATCATAAAATCATTATGCATTAGTGATCAGACTATGCTCTGTCTGTTGCTTGTGTAATTGAAAAAACCCCACGTCAACATATTTATTGCATGATCTATTAGTTTACCTATATCACTATGAACAATAACCACGTGTATATGCAACACATGTTATATGTGATTACACTTTCTTAGTAAAGTACAAATTCTAGTACTTTTGGGGGGTTGAGTCCAATCCGGCATTCGAACCCACACCCTCAGAGTCAGGCACCAAATCGCCAGCACACAATGTGGACGATGTAAATTTCACCCCATGTGGCTGCCAAAGTTTCAAGTCAAACTAACAAGTTTTGCTACCAACCTGCAAGACATATTATCACAGATGACTTCTCAATTGTTGAAAATAGCAACCTTCGTCAACTATTTAAATATGGACCTATGGAAAATATCGTGAACATCCTCTTACCAACTGGAATTACAACTTTAAAATCATTATAGATGCTGTTGAAACATATGCTAAAAACGGGCAAAAGGAGAAGATGAACCTGTGGATGTTGTCATTGGTAGAATGCACAAACTGCAAAAAGAGTAAACAGAATTGGAATAAACCCATTCTTTCCCAGCCAGCTGTCATCCAAAGTCTGGTTGCCCTGTATGAAACGTTTGTAGTTATTCCCACTGACGAGGCCTCAGATCATCATAACCTTTAGATGTAAACATTATTACATAAATTGTTTGATCAAAGAGCTCGGTATACGTGACATATCAAATAATGCCACAAATAAGGCCAGTATGTTAATTGAGGAAGAAATCGGCCTAAACCATTCAACGGTGCTATCAACGTCTGGCTTGACTCTTAAACCTGAAGACATGTCCATTCCTCTTTTGGACTGGATTCCAAAACTACATAACCATCAGATAACCAATTACCTTCCACTAATTTACCTACATGAACTTGAAATTCAGGAGACAAGTAAGACCGCCTCAACTGTTTAATATTTAGATCTATGCATTAAAATTCAGAGTGACAAAAAACTCTCCACAAGGCTGTATTACGAAAGGGGTGATTTCAGCCTTCCTATTGTCAATAGCAATATTCCAACATCTCCTACCTTTGGTGTTTACATTTCACATGTTTTGAGGTACAACCGAGCGTGCTCATTTTGTCAGGATTTCAAAGAGCGTCATACCACTCTTGCTCAGAAGTTGTTTGATCAAGGGTACAACATTCAAGGCCTCAGTAAAGCTTTCAAGAAGGTTATGGTAGACATGTGGAGGACATTTCCAAATTTGGTGCATCAGTGACCAAACTTATGTCCGATGCAATTCCCTACTTTGACTTGTTCCATACGTTCCGGAATTATTGCAGGTGAACAATTGACTAGACTTTGCGTAGGTGCCACCCGTGGGGAAGGATGCGCTCACCTTTTCGCGAACACCTGGTATCATCGCTATTTCATAGTGAGTCATAAACACATGCTCCATCATCCTATCGAATGGTGTCTGGTCCATACTCGATTTGTTTACGTGACATTGACTATTGTAGACTGACGTGACATTGATTATTGTAGACTGACGTGACGTTGATTATTGTAGACTGACGTGATATTGATAATTGTAGACTGACGTGACATTGATTATTGTAGACTGACGTGCCATTGAGTATTGATGACTGACGTGATATTGATTATTGTAGACTGTCGTGACATTGAGTGTTGTAGATTGACGTGACGTTGATTATTGTAGGCTGACATGACATTGAGTATTGTAGACTGACGTGATATTGAGTATTGTAGACTGTCGTGACATTGAGTATTGTAGACTGACGTGACATTGATTATTGTAGGCTGACGTGACATTGATTATTGTAGACTGACGTGACATTGATTATTAAAGACTGACGTGATATTGATTATTGAAGACTGACGTGATATTGATTATTGTAGACTGACGTGATATTGATTATTGTAGACTGACGTGACAATTAGTATTGTAAACTGACGTGATATTGATTATTGTAGGCTGACGAGACATTGATTATTGTAGACTGACGCGATATTGATTATTGTAGACTGACGTGATATTGATTATTGTAGACTGACGTGACATTGATTATCGTAGACTGAAGTGATATTGATTATTGTAGACTGACGTGATATTGATTATTGTAGACTGACGTGACAATTAGTATTGTAAACTGACGTGATATTGATTATTGTAGGCTGACGAGACATTGATTATTGTAGACTGACGCGATATTGATTATTGTAGACTGACGTGACATTGATTATTGTAGACTGACGTGATATTGATTATTGTAGAATGACGTGATATTGATTATTGTAGACCGACGTGATATTGATTATTGTAGACTGACGTGATATTGATTATTGTAGACTGACGTGATATTGATTATTGTAGACTGACGTGATATTGATTATTGTAGACCGACGTGATATTGATTATTGTAGACTGACGTGACGTTGATTATTGTAGGCTGACATGACATTGAGTATTGTAGACTGACGTGACGTTGAGTATTGTTGACTGACGAGACATTGATTATTGTAGACTGACGTGATAATGAGTATTGTAGACTGACGTGACGTTGATTATTGTAGACTGACGTGACAATGAGTATTGTAGACTGACGTGACGTTGAGTATTGTAGACTGACGTGACGTTGATTATTGTAGACTGACGTGACAATGATTATTGTAGACTGACGTGACGTTGAGCATTGTTGACTGACGTGACGTTGATTATTGTAGACTGACGTGACAATGATTATTGTAGACTGACGTGACGTTGAGTATTGTTGACTGACGTGACAATGATTATTGTAGACTGACGTGACATTCATTACTGTAGACTGACGTGACGTTGATTATTGTAGACTGACGTGCCATTGAGTATTGTAGACTGACGTGATATTGATTATTGTAGACTGACGTGACGTTGATTATTGTAGACTGACGTGACAATGATTATTGTAGACTGACGTGATATTGATTATTGTCGACTGAAATGACATTGATTATTGTAGACTGATGTGACGTTGAGTATTGTAGACTGACGTGACATTGATTATTGTAGACTGACGAGACATTGATTATTGTAGACTGACGTGACGTTGATTATTGTAGGCTGACATGACAATGAGTATTGTAGACTGGTGTGACAATGAGTATTGTAGACTGGTGTGACAATGAGTATTGTACACTGACGTGATATTGATTATTGTCGACTGAAATGACATTGATTATTGTAGACGGACCTGACAATGAGTATTGTAGACTGATGTGACGTTGAGTATTGTAGACTGACGTGACACTGATTATTGTAGACCGACGTGACAATGAGTATTGTACACTGACGTGATATTGATTATTGTCGACTGAAATCACATTGATTATTGTAGACTGATGTGACGTTGAGTATTGTAGACTGACGTGACATCGGGTATTGTTGACTGACGTGACATTGATTATTGTCGACTGATGTGACGTTGATTATTGTAGGTTGACGTGACATTGATTATTGTAGGCTGTCGTGACAATGAGTAGTGTAGACTGTCGTGACATTGATTATTGTAGACTGGCTTGACAATGAGTATTGTAGGCTGACGTGACAATGAGTACTGTAGAACGACGTGACATTGATTATTGTAGGCTGACGTGACATTGATTATTGTAGGCTGCCGTGATAATGAGTATTGTAGATTGACGTGACATTGATTATTATTGTAGACTGATGTGACATTGATTGTAGTAGATTGACGTGACAATGAGTATTGAAGACTGACGTGACAATGAGTATTTTAGACTAACGTGACATCGGGTATT